CAGAGAGAGTTTTCCTATTCTAGTTTCATTTTCTTAAAATACAAATATGATTAATGCACTTGCTTAAGACCTCCAGTGGGTTCACCTTGCCCTAGAATTCAGCCCAGTGTCCTTGGTGGGAACAAACAGCACTTTCCACATCTAATAACTGCTAGATCTCTCCTCCAATTCTCTTGTCCAGATAAGTGTATTGTTTTCTTTCCAAGTAACTTGCTGTTCTCTATCCTTGTAGCTTTGAAATGTACTAATCCTCTCCCTAGAGGCCTCCATTTTCCCACTTTATCTGGCAACCTTGAACTCCTCTCAGTTTTGATACCAGCTTCTTTAGGGAACTCTTTTCAATTCCCTGGACTTGGTCAGAGCCCTAGATCAGATCATATGTTTATTTCCTAGTGCTCATATGCCCCGTGTCAGTTGTTTAAGGTCAATTTCTCCCACTACTATATATATTGAGATGAAGTCTCGCTCTGCTGTCCAGGCTGGAGTGCAGTGGCCTGGTCTTGGCTCACTGCAACCTCTGCCTCCCGGGTTCAACCAATTCTCCTGCCTCAGCCTCCCGAGTAGCTGGGATGACAGGTGCCTGCCACCACTCCTGGCTAATTTTTGTATGTTTAGTAGAGACAGGGGTTTCACCATGTTGGCCAGACTGGTCTCAAACTCCTGACCTCAGGTGATCCACCTGCCTTGGCTTCTCAAAGTGCTGAGATTACAGGCGTGAGCCACCGCGCCCGGCCTCCTACTAGAATGTTAAGCGCCCTGAAAACAAAACTCAAAATGTGCTTTCATAATAAAGGACGATACTATTATTATTACTATACATGACTTCAAACTGGTTTTTATATCTCATTACTTTTATAATCAAATTATTACATTAATATATGTCATTAATAATATGTATTTGATCTCAGACGGGTCATTATATCTGAGTACTAGAAGGGATCTTAGAGAGCTCTTAACCCTACTCCTTGTATTTTGGGAACTATATCAAATTTCAATATCCTAGATCCCATAAATCATTGACATTTCACAGCAATTCTAATATTCCTACAAATAACATCTGAACGGGTCAAGTTGGCAAACATCACAATGCCTTAAGTAAGCTGAGTTTATCAGACATGCAAATATAAGTAAAACAACACTCCACCAACTTCTATTGTAAATGAATGGTGAGAATTACAATTCTTGTATTTTTTTAACTGACATTTTTTCCCTGAACTTTTTTATTGAATTGCCCAAATCTTTGAATGATACTTTGATATATTTTTCAAATATATATAACCATAAAGCTGCCATTAAGAACAATATATACATTATCTACACCTTATACACTGCCCTCTGCCCCGTTCTGATCAACCTCTGGCCCCGCTCCCACCAAAGGTAGTCAAGCGTTCTGAATTCTTTTACCATAAATTGGGCTTTTCTTTTCTTGAACTTCATATAAATGCAATCATACAGTATGTTCTATTTTGTGTCTGGCTATTTTTATTAAACATTATGTGAGTTAGAGTCATATATGCTTTTATATTTAATAATAATTTGCTCTTTTTCATTACTGTATAGTATTCCATTGACTGTATCTGCCACACCATTCTACTATTGATGGACATGTGGATTGTGGCCAATTTGGGGCTACTGTGAATAAAACTTGTGTGAAAATCTTTGTGCTGTGGTGCATATATCTACACATTTCTGTTGGTTATAAGCCTACCTATGAAATTACTAAATCATAGGGTAAGCTTATGTTCCCCTTTAGTAAATATTGCTCAAAAGATTTTCAAAGTGATTGTACTAATCTGCTGTTCCAATTTCCCCACACACCAGCAGAATATGAGAGTTCCCGTTGCTCTACAACCTTTTCAACTCTTGATATTCTAAGTTGTTGTTGTATTATTTACCTTTTAACTGTTCTGGTATAGAAGTATCTTCTTATAGTTTTTATGTGTATTTGGTATTTTCCTAATAAATAATGATGTTGAGCATTTTTTCATATGTTTATTAGCCATCTAGACATCTTTATCAATAGAGCTTCAAGAAGAAAACATAGACTATCATCATCACCTTGGGACAGGCAAAGATTTCTTTTTTTTTTTAAGCGATGGGATGTCACTACGTTGCCCAGGCTGGAGTGCAGTGGCTATACACAGGTGTAATCACAGCACACTATGGCCTCAAACTCCTAGACTCAGCAATTCTCCTCTCTCAACCACCAAGCTTGCTGGGACTACAGGCACATGCCACTGCACCTGGAAAAGACTTCTTAAATAGAACGCACACACACACACACGCACGCACGCACGCACGCACGCACGCACACACCCCTATCCATAAAGAAAAAGAGTGATGTAGACTTCCATTAAAATGTACCCATTCTGGGCCAGACACAGGGGTTCACACCTGTAATCCCAGCACTTTGAGAGGTTGACACAGGAGAATTGCCTGAGTCTAGGGGTTCGAGACCAGCCTGAGCAGCATGGCAAAACCCCATCTCTACAAATAAATTAAAAATTAGCCTAGTGAAGTGGTGTGCACCTGTAGTCCCAGCTAATTCAAAGGTTAAAGTGGGAGAATCACTTGAACCTAGGAGGTAAGGCTGCAGTGAGCCAAGATCATACCACTGCACTCCAGCCTAGGTGACAGAGTAAAACCCTGTCTGAAACAAAAATAATAATAAGTAGATATTCTCTTCATTAAAGAATACTATTAAAAAAATTTAAAAGCCTGGGCAAGGTGGCTCATACCTATAATCCCCAGACTTTGGGAAGCCAAGGCAGTGGGATTACTTGGGCCCAGGAGTTCAAGACCAGACTGGGCAATGTAGTGAGACCCCCATCTCTACAAAAAAATTTTAAAAAGTAGCCAGGCCTGGTGGCATGTTCCTGTAGTCCCAGCTACTTGGGAGGCTGAGGCAGGAGGACTGCTTAAGCCCAGGAGGTGGAGGTTGCAATGAGCTGAGATCGTGCCACCATACTCCAGCCTGGTGACAAAGTGAGACACTGTCTTAGTAAATAAATAAATAAAGCCATTAAGTGAGATAATCTATTTGCAATTATAACCAATATTCTTAAAGAACTCTTGGAAACCAGTAAGAAAAAAAGATAGCTCAGTGCAAAAGTGGGCAAAAAAAACTTGAATTAAACCTTCCTTTTTATATTTATTTATTTATTTTGAGATGGAGCCTGACAGTCACCCAGGCTGGAGTGCAGTAACACGATCTCAGCTCACCGCAACCTCTGCCTCCTGGATTCAAGCAATTCTCCTGCCTCAGCCTCCCAAGTAATTGGGATTAGAAGCATGCACTCCCATGCCTGGCTAATTTTTTGCATTTTTAGTAGAGGTGGGGTTTCACCATGTTAGCCAGGCTGGTCTTGAACTCTTGACCTCAAGTGATCCACCTGCCTCAGCCTTCCAAAGTGCTGTGATTGCAGGCATAAGCCACCGCGCCCAGCCTGTTTTGATTTTTTTAGAGATGGAGGTCTTACTACGTTGTCTGGGCTGGTCCCGAACTCCTGAGCTCAAGTCATCCTCCTGCCTCAGCCTCTCAAAGTGCTAGGATTACAGACATGAGCCACCATGACACACCTATTTTTATTTTTCATTTTTGTGTAACAGACATGAGCCAATGTGCCCGGTGAATTAACCCTTCTTTATCATAAAATATTACAAACGCTAAAGTATTTTTGACTACATTTGTTTCTTTTGTGTATGTTTAATAAGGATAATTCATTCACGCAATTTCAATGTTTTTTCTCTTTGCACAACTTCCTATATAAATAAAATCACAAATCAGGATAAAAACAATTCTCTTGAGCTATAGTTTGTCCTCTTTGGGGTTTAGAAAATATACCCACAATAATTACTTCATCTAGCCTAGCTCTCCATTCACCTGAACCTTTATCTGACAAATGATTCTCAGAACTTCCAAGTGTTCCAATAAAAACGTAAAAAGGAATGATTGCCACCTCTGTCTCCAAGGACGAGGCAGATACTCCTGTTCAGATAAAGGCTCCCAGCCCCCAAGCACCTAGCCAAAGTAAAAAACCTCATCTGCCTTCATCTGTTGTGGGACTGTCTCAGAAAGCTGGATTTTCTTCCCCCATGCAAATTTCTCCTTTCCCATACTATCACATTCTTTGAAAATCAGAAAGTCCAAGAGTAGTGTTACACATGAGTGACACACACCTATAATCCCAGCTACTTGGAGGCTGAAGAGGGAGGATTACTTAATTAAGAAAAAGCAAAAAAAAAAAAAAAAAAAAGAATTGAGTTATAGTTTCACCAAGTCTTTGTGAATACAAAGTACTTAAAGTGGTGAAGCCAGCACGAAGAATATGGGGAAACATAGACCCAGGTATCTACTGAATGCTTACCAGGTGTCAGGCAGTATACTAGGTAAATATATCACTACCCTCAAGGGGCTTATAGCCTAGTATGGATGATCAATGATAACAGCCAGAATAAAAGCTTCATTTATGTAGTTCTTACACTGTGCAAGACATTGTGCAAAGCATCTGAACATGTATTTTTAATATATAATAGTATATACAATATGTAATATACATGGCTTGAACACATTTCGTCGTATTTTTATTACCTTTAATCTTCGCAGCACATTAGGAAGATATTGTTTTTAACCCTCTTTTAGGCTGGGCGCAGTGGCTCACGCCTATAATCCTAGCACTTTGGGAGGCCAAGGTGGGTGGATCACCTGAGGTCAGGAGTTCAAGACCAGCCTGGCCATCAGGGTGAAACCCCATCGTTAAAAAAAAAAAAAAAAAAAAAAAAAATTTTTTTTTTAAATTCCCCTTTTAGATCAGTAAATTGAGAAGTTAAGTAACTTGGCCAAGGTCAAGTAGTAAGAATTCAGACTAAGAGTTGAAACTAACACGTTAGAAGCGGGTAATAACAAGTGCATAGATTAGATAGCATGCTAGAAACACAAAAGAGGGACGACCTTTAGCCCAGCCTGGAGAAATTCAAAGCTCCCTGGAGGAGGTGATATTTGAGCCACACTGACTGGTGGGTGGATCAGGAAGTCAGGCAAGAGGAAGGGCATTCCAGCCAGGAATTTCAGCACCCTGGGAGAGACAGGGGTGTCAGACAACAAACCAGTGTGGCTGTGGATACACGAGGGAGACAAAAGCAGACGGATAGGAGAGTGACACCCCACGGGGCTTCGTGGGCCAGCGAAGGAGTGTGAAGATTTGAGTCTCATCCTGAAGGCAGCAAGAGTCTCCAGGAGGATTTTAAGTAGGGAACTGCCACGGTCAGATTCGGATGATGCGAGAGACGACTGGCAAAGTGGGAGGCAGTGAGGAAGCTGCCACCATCATCGGTGGCCAGGGTAGCCTCACCCTAGCTTCTGACCTTGCACACAGCAGAGGCCATCTCCTCTCCCCCACAACTCATGGCATCCAGGCTTCTTCTTCACCCTGCGCTAGATACTTTTTCCTCTATGGGCCTTTACATTTAGCGTTTTGCTTGTTTGTTTGTTTGTTTGTTTTTTGAGATGGAGTCTCGCTCTGTCACCCAGGCTGGAATGCAGTGGTGCAATCTCAGCTCACTGCAACATCTGCCTCCTGGGCCCAGGCAATTCTCCTGCCTCAGCCTCCCGAGTAGCTGGGATTACAGGCACGCGCCACCGTGCCCAGATGATTTTTTGTATTTTTAGTAGAGACGGGGTTTCACCACGTTGAACAGAATGGTCAAACTCCTGACCTCAGGTGATCCACCTGCCTTGGC